GCCAAAAGCACACTCCACCACCATTCTGCACTTGCTCAGCCGGTAGTTGAAGAGTTCTTTTTCAGTGTCCAGGGCGCCAGTATAGGGCTTCATGAGCCAGGGCATTAGCGGGTAGTCTGGGTCTCCGAGGATGACTATAGGCATCTCCACATCCCCAAGAGTTATTTTGTGTTCCGGGAAGTAAATACCTTCCTGCAGCCATCTAAACAGACCTGAGTTCCTGAAAACACGAGCGTCATGAACCTTGCCCGGCCATCCGACGTTGATGTTTGTAAAACGTCCACCAGTGCTTGCAGCACCATTGAAAAGTAGCCCTTTCGGTTGATGTACTGGCTGGCCTGGTGGTCCGGTCCCAGGATAGGGATGTGAGTTCCATCTATAGCCCCACCGCAGTTTGGGAATCCCATCGCGGCGAAGCCATCTATGATGACCTGCGCGTTTCCCAGGATCACTACCTTTGAGAGCAGTACCTCAACGATTGCGTTGGCTACTTGCATGACAACAACCCCCACGGTAGATTTGCCCATGCCAAAGTGGTTCGCGACTGACCGGTAGCTGTCTGGCGTTGCAAGCTTCCAGAGGGCTATGGCTACTCGCTTCTGGACAGTCAGGGCTGCTCGCATCCAGGTGTCATTGCACTTCAGGGCAGGGGACAGCAACTCACAAAGTTCCATGAAAGTCCCCTTCCGCATGCGAAAGTTTCGCAGCCACTGTGATTCATCCCAGACCTGCAGCACTATGCGGTCCCACCAGTCCGTGCTTGTTTCCCGGGCCCAGAATCGCCGTTCCACAACATCAACATGACCCATTGCCACCATGATGTCCTCGGCGCGGGGTCCCGTGCTTTGTGACAGGTTTGTGCCACTCTCAGACTTCAGGTCCTCACCGCGCTGCCGTAGCCTCCTCGCCCAATTTCTCAGCATCTGCCTCTGGGAAAGGTGGATGATAAGCTGCGAGGTGTTGACAACGGCCATAACTGCAGCGATGGTCGCAGCGGGCTCCATGCTCGCAGTGCTGTGGCGTCCGCGCTGTCACTGACCAGAAAAGTGCGCGAACTGATTTCCCGCCGGCGCTTTCAGGGAGGGAGGGCGGGAGTGATGGTCGGATGACGACAGTTACCCAAAAGCACCCTCGACACATTTTTTTACCCAGAAGGCATTGGCGGCTCGACCCAGAATTCCAATGGGCAGCGGGGACTACGGGAACTGTGGGATAGCTGCCCACAGTGCACCGCTTCCAATGTCGACGCTTTCCCCGTTAGTGTGGACTCACAAAGTCGAATTACTGTCCTTAGTCTGGACACACACGTTCGACTTTGTAATATCGATTCCACATATTCGATTTAAGTAAAATCGAACTACTCTCATAGTGTAGACATACCCAAACTCAAGACTCCTAAATCCCAATCCGCTGTTTTAACTACAACCTATTTTTTTTCTTTTAAGAGTGAGCATCCTTCCTCTCATTCAAAACATGTCCTTATAATAACTTCATTCTCAATAAATATGTAGATACCTCAGGTAAAAGATATATCTTTACAGAGCAAATGTTTCAATTCATTTTAATGCATACTTTTTTTAAAATAACCCCTCTACATACAGCTTATTTTGCAGAAGTCTTCTTTGATTGATGTTCTACAATATCTTGGACAGATGATATAGTCACAAATATATAAAGATACTCTTTTTACTCCTCCAGTACCCCTGGAGGACTCTGCTTAATGTCGCTTATATAGCCTGGTTTTCGGGTTTGATATAAACGCTTTCAGTTATACGGATTTGTGATGGCTTCATTACTCACCTGTGGCAAAGCCATGAGTGAATTTTGCCACTCCTCCCAGACGAGTAATGATAAATCTTTTTTGCCCTACTATCCTATATTCTGTACATGACCATACATCCCGCAGAGCAAGACTGTTTTTCAAATGTTTTGGAAAGTCTAAAAATGGTCATTGGGCCTTTTTCCCCTATACCTACACCTATCAGGCCAGATTGCTTTAATTCCCATGATTCCAAATGCTTTGGGATAATAGGGAGCCATCGAGTTTCTTAAAATGTGCTTTATAAGTCTTGATATACAGAAATACATAATATTTTAAAACTTTCCAGACGCATTTTCCAGAACTAGAAGCAAGTGCTGGGTTACATTGGAAAGATGTATGTGTTCTGCCCAGAGACCCTGAGTCTAGATCTCCCGATGGCGAGATTTCGACAATGAGAATTGTCACGGGGGTATGATAAATATTGACTGTCAAGGGCCTGGGCCCAGAACGATTGTTTTTAGGAGTAGCGAGGAGTGGCATATTCCTCATTTGGGGGGAGGGGAATTTCCCTCGGCTGGTTGATGTTTTAGTGATGGCCGATATTTGAAGCTGCTCAGAGGTCTGGAATGTTGTCCAGGAAGAGGGGACTTTGTGGGCAAAATGCAGTTGAAGTGCTCAACCGTGCTGATAAACGAAGGATGAAGGATCCTGTGATTTTATTTTTCACGTGGCTTTTTAGTTTATCACATTGACATTTCTATAGCACATGTGGTGTATATATATATATAAAATCTCTGTGTGTGTATATGTATGTATGTATGTGTGTGTGTGTATGTATGTGTGGTGTGTATATACATACACAAATAAATGTACTTTTGTATTTTCAGTTAGTGAATTATAGTTACATATCTTCTTCTTGTGTTAGAGTTTTCTGGGAAGCCAATAGCCTCCCTATTTACTAGGTATTAAATAACTAAGAGTGAAAACTGGAAAATATATGGAATACAAATAATTTCATATCCTCTATTAGGTAGAGCTCACCCATACATGGTACACCCTGAGTTTTCCATTCAGATTATATCCATTGCGATAGAAATGAATAACGTGAATGAAGTAACAAACATGAACAGCCAAATATAACTGAATATAAAAATATAATATTTAATGTTGCTAATGTTCAACTCAGTAAGAACTTTACTAAACGAGCATAAGTGCACCACCAAGGACAGTCAGATGGAAAAACATAGATATAGACATAATAATCCTAGGCAAATCAGTTCACATGTAATTCACGCATAAACATATTAAAAACACGTAAATCATTATCTCTACATGTTTGTGCATAACAACCCAGATTCCTGACCACCTTCATTACTTGGGAGCATTTCAAGCTCTCATATATCCCTAATTAGGAGAAACCACCTAGGGTAGAATGTTGAATATCAAATTAAAATTCCAATAAACTATCAGTCTAAAAGCTCCAGTAGGAAGCGCGTGCAGTTATTGGTTGGGACTCTGAGCGCCGCTGTTCACCAATCAGGAAGAGAAATGCGCTGAGAGATCCAGCCAGCCCAGCCCCGCTGTTACACAGAGCACAAACCACAGAGATCAGATTCAACTCACCGGGTATGAACATTAAACGGTGATATTCGCTGCAAGTGGCTTTGGTTTTAACTATAAATATTTTCGGAAACATTCCGCCAAAGATAAAATCCAAACGCGGCGTCTCCATATCAGCATGGGAATGCCAGAAACTCAAACGCTGCGGCGCTGCAAAGGGCGAGCCCTGTTCTGCTTTATGTTGGCTACCGTTTGGGAGTCAGCTTCTGGGCAGATTCGCTATTCGATTCCGGAAGAAATTGAGATAGGAACTTTCGTGGGGAATGTCGCAAAGGATCTGGGGCTGGATGTAAAGCAGCTCTCAGACCGCGCAGTCCGCTTTGCTTCCAGAGGTAGGACCCAGTATTTTGCTTTGAATTTTAAGAGCGGCCATTTAATAACCACGGAGAGGATAGACAGAGAGCAGATCTGTGGCGGGCTGGAGGAGTGTTTGTTAAACTGTGAGGTTATAGTGGAGGATAAAATGAAGCTTTATAGAGTTGAAATTGAAATCACAGATATTAATGACAATGCTCCCAGCTTCCAGAGAGAAGAAATTGAGTTAAAAGTCAGCGAGACAACAACACCGGGATCCCGGTTTCCTTTGAGTGATGCCCATGACTCAGATTTGGGCATTAATTCTCTCCAGAGCTATCAACTCAGCAGTAACAGACATTTCTCTCTTGATGTGCAAACGGGAACCGATGGAGTTAAATATGCCGAACTGGTGCTGGAAAAGTCTCTAGATCGGGAAGAACAAGCTGTTCACGATCTAGTCCTCACAGCCACTGACGGGGGAGATCCAGTCAGATCCGGCACTGCGCAAATCCGCGTTGTTGCTCTTGACGCAAATGACAACGCGCCAGTTTTTAGTGAGTCTGTCTATAAAGTGAACGTTTTGGAAAATGTCCCGGATGGTTCCACAATTCTTACAGTAAAAACCACTGATCTGGACGAAGGCATAAACAAACAGGTGATATACTCATTCAAAAAAATCACAGACAAAGCTTCCAAAATATTCCGCTTCGATTCGAACACGGGAGAACTAACAGTCGTGGGAAACTTGGATTTTGAGGAAGCATCATTATATGAAATTGAGGTACAAGCGCATGACGGGGGAGGCCTTTTTGGCAGGTCCAAAATTGTAATCGTTGTTAGCGATGTGAATGACAACGCTCCGGAAATCGTTCTCAGGTCTCTCATCAGCTCGATCCCCGAGGACTCTCCCATCGGGACTGTGATCGCTCTTTTAGATGTACAAGATCTAGATTCCGGAGAGAACGGGGAGGTCACGTGCTCCATACCCAGCGACTTGCCCTTCGAGCTGAAGAAACCCTTCGATAATTATTACAGTCTGGTGACAGACCGAGCCCTGGACAGGGAGCAGGTGGCTGCATACAACATCACAGTGACCGCCACGGATAATGGGACTCCTCCTCTTTCTACAGCCACCACGATCCCACTCCGGATTTTAGACACGAACGACAACGCCCCCTTCTTCGATAAAACATCCTACACGGCCTACGTCACGGAGAATAACCCGAGAGGAGCCTCCATTTTCTCCCTGAAGGCGAATGACCCCGACTGGGGGAAAAATGCCAGAGTCACTTACTCCATTATTGAAGGAGACAGAAGCGAAGTGCCTTTGTCCTCCTCCATCTCAATTAACTCCGAGACTGGGGCTGTCTACGCTCTGCGCTCCTTCGATTACGAACAGTTCCGGGAGATTCGGTTCCAAGTGCAGGCTCAGGATGGGGGTTCCCCACCTCTCAGCAGTAATGTCTCCATCACTCTCTTTATACTGGATCAGAATGACAACACCCCGGACATCTTACACCCCTCCTTTCCCACCGATGGCTCCACGGGAGTGGAGTTGGCCCCTCGCTCCTCCGAGCCGGGTTACCTGGTCACTAAGGTGGTGGCGGTGGATGCAGATTCCGGGCAGAACGCCTGGCTCTCCTACCAGCTGCTGAAGGCTACAGAGCCGGGGCTCTTCTCTGTGGGACTCCACAGCGGAGAGATCAGGACAGCGCGCTACTTTGTAGACAGAGATGCGCTCAAGCAAAGTCTGGTGGTTTTAGTGAAGGACAACGGGCAGCCCCCTCTCACTGCCACGGCCACTGTCACGGTGGTGGTGGCTGACAGCATCTCCGAAATCCTCTCCGATTTAAGCAGCCCCTCAGCTCCTGCAGACCCCCAGTCCAGCCTCACCTTGTATTTGGTGATCGCTGTGGCTTCCGTTTCCTGCTTGTTCTTTACCTTTATCATAGTGTTACTGGCCCTGAGGCTCCGCCGGTGGAGAAACTCGCCGCTGTTTGACTCCTCGGGTGTGACTTTCAGTGGAGTTCCCGTCTCGCAGTTTGTGGGGATCGATGGAGTCAGAGCTTTTCTTCACTCCTACTCACATGAGGTTTCTCTCACCACGGACTCCAGAAAGAGCCAATTCAACTTTCCCAAATCAAACTATGTAAATACTGTTACCAGTCAGCAGACTCGTGAGATAAAGGATCCTACTGTAGTTACTGAAGAATTAAACACTTATAACGGGGATCAGACCTCGTTTCAGGTGAGCCTATAACTTTGGAGCTTTATCATTTTTATCTGAAATTGTTGGTATCTTTTTATTTCTAGACGGCTAATCAGTAAAGATACTAATGTATATGTCCGTACGTTGGAGAGAGGGAGGGTAGGGAGAGTGTGTGTATTTCTCTGGAATAAACTGAGTGATTTCCATTGAGTGCTTTGAGTGTCACCGGAAGGCCCTGGCATTTTCTTTGCTATTGTCTAGAAAGCCAATGTCGTGCTATTTTTAGGTTTGTCAAATGAATGATTTTCTGGAATTTGTGTTACAAACAGGTATCTTAATATCCTTCCCTTATTCTTAAGAAATAGAGGTTTGTTTTCACCCTTACACCAGGGCTGGCTCCAAGCACCAGCATTCCAAGTAGGTGCTTGGGGCGGCAATCTGCAAGGGGCGGCAGTCCGTGTGTTTTTGCCGCCCCAAGCAGCCCGCGGATGGCGGGGGCAGTCTGTGTGCAGTTAGGGCGGCACGCAAGTTTCCGCGGCAGTTTCTATGTTCAGCTGCCTGCGGCAGCAATTCGGCGGCTTCTGTCTTTCGGCTGAAGACAGAAGCTGCCGCCGAATTGGCCCCTCCGGGGAAACGCGCCTGCCGCCCTAACTGCACACTGACTGCCCCCGCGCTGCTTGGGTCGGCAAAAACAGTAGAGCCGGAGCTGCCTGACAAAATCTTTATTCAGTTGTGTGGAATAGTGTTCTTTGCCGGAAAGATTACACGTGCCTGCATAGCTGATTATTTTGTTAGAAATTTAGCTTTCAAGAAAGTATATTACTGTTAATCTAGGACAACATAGCTTTTAAAGAGGAATAGATTAAATCAAGATTTTTAATATTTTCCTCAATAATAATGTTGTTGTGTCTTAATTTTGAGCCTTAACAAATTACGATGTATAGTGACATACTGTACTGACGCTTTTACAGTTTTATTAATTAATATAGGGAAAATAGATTCTAAAATTTCTTAAGTTCTTTTATTAAATAAGTATTATGTGTTTGTAAACCATTTGCATTAATACAGAGATAAGTGAATGAAATATCTTTGGAGTTGTGGTTATATAGTTATAGATAATTTTGTTCTTTTTTATGTTGCCATCTTTGATTATTTAATTTATTTTTGCATCACGGGGAAGGCCTTTGAATACAGGGATTTTACAGGAACATGGTCATGGTTTCAGAACGTTTCATGTTTGGAACACATAAGCGTTCTTCTGGTAACATTTGTGTTCCTGGGGTTGGTTCAATGACAGAACTGAGCCTACTTTTGAAATATATTGTAATTTACCACAACAGGCCTTTTTCTTAGCTTTTAGAAGTATATGCAGTGTTCGTTTAATGGGAGGGTTTTCTCTTTTTCCCCCCTTTCTTTGTTTGTTTGTTGTACAGGAAAACCAGAATTTTTTAAGCGGACAAAAAGGACCTTAAAGTAAACCACTCAAAATTTGTTTTGCTCACAAGTTTAGACCGAGGTACTCTTCTCTTTTTACAATATTCAAACATTTCTGTCAAAATTTTCAGAACTATTATTTGTTGGAGCTCACAGAAATGTGGGTGTGTGGGAATTGTGATTCCATATGTGGAAACAATTGTAACTGTTAGAACGTTCTTTCCTCTTCTCAATAATAGTCCTCTGTAGATAAAGATGTGCACAGTCACCCTTCCCACTGTTCCATTATTCCATTCCCCATAAAATAGCGGTTTGGTATACTTTAACTTGAGTATATATAAACTCATACCAAAAAGAACTATGAAGTCCACAGTTAACTGGAGATGCAATTGTTCACATTTGACAATGTTATAATGCTACAGACTTAGAAAATAGTGTTTGGCAAGGGGGAATTCTTTCATTATAGTCGCTAGAGCTGTGTCGGCGCCTTGATAAGATCGCTGCTATTGCAGTTCTCCCGTTGAGACTCGGAGTGCCGCTGTTGGCCAATGCGGAGCCAGGGCTGGAGCCGGAGATCCACTGGAGCCTCCTGCGCTGCGATTGCTCCATCATACAGCGCAGATCGCAGAGGAAACTGCAGGGAGACAGCCACCGTCTCTCTATGAAAAGGAATCTCCTCAGAGCACAACGTACCGTTAAGCAGACAATCGGAGCTCAATTTACTCTCCCTTACCGCGGATTACTTCAGCCTGATGGGATTTCCGAACAACTAACGTAATCAAAATAAAGCAAGAGAGGAGAGAGTAAAGCTGACAGAGACTGGGATGGAAATCAGAGAGCCGGGCCAGGCAGTCACACGGCAGGTGCTGCTGTTTCTCTTCCTATTCGCTTTGTTTTGCCGGGCGGTCTCGGAGCAGAGTCGTTATTCGATTCCTGAGGAAATGGCGAAAGGTTCCCTTGTGGGGAATCTCGCCAAGGATTTGGGGCTGAGTGTGAGAGAACTGCCCGACCGGAAGCTCCGCGTTGTCTCTGCAGCTAAAAAGCAATATTTCAGCGTGAATGGGGAAAGTGGCAACGTCTATGTGAATGACAGGATAGACCGGGAGGAGATATGCGGGACATCTCAACTCTGCATCATAAATTTCGAAACTGTGCTGGAAAATCCCTTGAATGTTTTCCACATAAATGTCGCGATCCAGGACATTAACGACAATGCCCCGCTTTTCCTAAAAGACAGCATCGATCTACAAATCAGTGAGTCCAGTTTGCCAGGGGCTCGATTTGCTCTTGGAAATGCTGAAGATCCTGACGTTGGGATTAATTCTCTGCAGAGTTATCAGATGAGCCCCAATCAGGATTTCATCCTGGAAATCAAAGAGAGCCGGGATGGCAATAAATATGCAGATTTAGTGCTGCAGAAACCCCTGGATCGGGAGAGCCAGAGCAGCCTTCACTTGATCCTCACGGCTGTGGATGGGGGAGAGCCGCAGAGAACTGGGACCGCCCAGATATGGATTAATGTCACCGACGCCAATGACAACCCCCCTGTTTTCACTCAGGAGCTCTACAAAGTCAGCCTGCGGGAAAATACACCGACGGGCTCCTTAGTGCTTCAGGTTAAAGCCACCGACAACGATGAAGGTTCAAATGCTCAGATCAGCTACGTCTTCTGCAACATTCCAGAAAAGGCCCGTCAGAAATTCAGTCTGGACCCAGAAACCGGGAAAATTACTGTAAAGGAGCCCTTAGACTTTGAGGAGACACGTGACTACACCCTGGTAGTAGAAGCAAAGGATGGAGGCGGACTAGTGACACACTGCAAAGTGGAAATTGAGGTTCTTGATGAGAACGACAATGCCCCGGAGGTGACAGTCGCATCCCTGGCCAGCCCCATTCCCGAAGACTCAGTGCCCGGGACAGTGATAGCTCTGATCAATGTAATCGATCAAGATTCTGGAGACAACGGGATCGTGTTTTGTCATTTCCAAGACGAGTTGCCGTTTAAAATAATATCCTCCTCTAATAACTACTACAAGCTCCTTACAGACAGCACCTTGGACAGGGAAAGGACCCCGAAGTACAATATCACAATCACCGCCACAGACAAAGGCACTCCCCCCCTCTCCACCCAGAAAACCATCCTGTTGCAGATCTCGGATATCAATGACAACGCCCCTGTCTTTGAGAAACCTTCCTACATCGCCTATGTGCCAGAGAACAATCCCTCGGGGGCCTCTATTTTCAGTGTAAAAGCCTCAGACCGGGATCTGGACCGGAACGCCCGAGTCACTTACTCCATCCTGAGCAGCAACCTCCAGGAGGTGCCTCTCTCTTCCTACATCTCCATTAACTCCCAGACCGGAGCTATCTATGCGCAGCGCTCCTTCGACTACGAGCAATTCCGGGAGTTTGAAATGCAAGTGAAGGCCCAAGACGGCGGGTCCCCGCCTCTCAGCAGCAATGTCACTGTCAGGGTGTTTATTCTGGATCAGAATGATAACGCCCCTCGCATCCTGTACCCTTCCCTCGGAGCCGATGGCTCCGCCTTGTTCGAGATGGTCCCTCGCTCGGCCGAGGCAGGATATCTGGTGACTAAGGTGGTGGCGGTGGATGCTGACTCAGGACACAATGCCTGGCTCTCCTACCACCTGCTCCAGGCCACCGAACCGGCGCTCTTCATCATGGGGCTGCACAGCGGGGAGATCCGAACAGCCCGCGCCTTTGCGGACAGAGATGCTGTGAAGCACAGGCTGGTCACCCTGGTGAAGGATAACGGGCAGCCGCCTCTCTCTTCCACAGTGACTCTCAACCTGGTGTTTGCTGAGAATTTCCAAGAGGCTCTTCCGGAAATCAGCGACCAATCGAGTGACTCAGAATCTCAGTCTGGCTTTACTATTATTTTGGTGGTAGCTCTAGCTTTGATTTCGTTTTTATTCTTTTTTACAGCGATATCAGTTTTAATTTTTAAATGTCGGAGACCTAGAACTCCCCCAGTTTTTGGATCTTACTATCCGGATCTGTATTCTAGTCTCGGCCCCAAATTCTCCTGCAACTACAGCAATGGGACCTTGCAGTTGCCCTATTCCTACGAGGTGTGCTTAGCTGCCGATTCCGGGCAGAACGAGTTCACCTTTCTCAAACCGGGCGAAAAGGCCTTGACCGACGTTCTCCTTTCTGATGAGGATTCTGGCATGGGGAATGAGTCTGGCAGGGGAAACCTGAGCTCTGACAGCCTGGCACAGGTGAGACACCTTCATGAAATGCAAGTCTTGCTAACGTAGAGAATATTTCTACCAGTAATCTAAAGTTTCCTGGGTAATGCTTCCCTGTAATTCTGCAGCAAGTATGTAGACTGCAAATAGATCTAAGTTTTACCGCATAAACAAGTGTTATAAGAGTTAAGTGAAAATCCTGTTAAACTTTTCAGTTTCATTCTGATCAGCATCATCTGCATTATGATATAGGAGAAATGAATGTTTCCCTTCTCAGAATAGATGGAAGGTTCTCAGTGTCCTTTATGTAAAACATTTTCATAGATTATTTTACTATTTTCGATAAAGAATATGTCCGAGTTTATTTGTTGTATGGGACCAACTACTATTTCAGACACTTTCAGTCTCTAGTGGTGGAAAGTCTGCGGTCAGGGAATTATTCGAGTCCAAAGGGAACTATAGTAGGTTAGACCATTCCCCCGTATTGTGCCAATATTTTCTCTAAAGCATCCCTATTTTAGATAGCAACAGAGGGTCCTGTGGCACCTTTGAGACTAACAGAAGTATTGGGAGCATAAGCTTTCGTGGGTAAGAACCTCACTTCTTCAGATGCACCTATTTTAGATGTGTCATATGACAGCCCTGAACATCTTCAGATGACGTAATTCCACAATCTACTTTAGCAGATTATTTCAAATGTCTTTATACCTATATTGTTATAAGGCAGTGGTGTTGTACCCAGAATATTAGAGAGATAGGTGAGTAAGGTAATATAATAGAATATCAGGATTAGAACGGACCTCAGGAGGTAATCTAGTCCACCCCCCTGCTCAAAGCAGGACTAATCCCCAGACAGATTTTTGCCCGAGGTCCCTAAATGGTCCCCTCAAGGAGTGAATTTACAACCCTGGCTTTAGCAGGCCAATGCTCAAACCACTGAGCTATCCCTCCCCCCAATATCTTTTATTGGACCAGCTTCTGTTGGTGAGAGAGATGATCTTTGGATCTTACACAAACTGAAAAGTTTATCTCTGTCACCAACGGAAGTTGATCCACTAAAAGTTATTACCTCACCCACCTTGTCTTTCTTACACTCATTAGCATTTTCCTAATATTTAACCTGAGATTAACTTTCTAAATTTATTCCCTTTACTTCAGGTGTCCTTAAATTAAGACTCTTGACCCTCTCCTCTTTGTGATATTATATATATTGTGTTATATTATGTACTCCCGACTTCACTGAGTATTGCAAAACTCTGTACTCAGGGCCAAGGATTCGGCAAGGGCAGTGGATCTAAGAGCAAGTCCCAGTGGGACTTGTGTCCAAAGTGCATCATTAAGGCAGGCAAAGGGCAGGAGGGATAGCTCAGTCGTTTGAGCATTGGCCTGCTAAACCCAGGGTTGTGAGTTCAATCCCTGAGGGGCCATTTAGGGATCTGGGGAAAATATCTGTCTGGGGATTGGTCCTGCTTTGAGCAGGCAGTTGGACTAGATGGCCTCCTGAGGTCCCTTCCAACCCTGATATTCTATATGGGGGGAGGGATAGCTTAGTGGTTTGAGCATTGGCCTACTAAACCCAGGGTTGTGAGTTCAATCCTTGAGGAGGCCACTTAGGGTTCTGGGGCAAAATCAGTACTTGGTCATGCTAGTGAAGGCAGGGGGCTGGACTCAATGACCTTTCAAGGTCCCTTCTGGAGACAGGATATCTCCATTAATTAATTTGGGGGTTGGACTTAGGTGACCTCCTGAGGTCCCTTCCAACCCTGATATTCTATGATTCAAGGCGCTGTTTCAGCTAGAATTTTAGTTTCTGTGGTTTTGAATGTATTTACCTTTTACAATTTTGAACAGATTGTAGTGCTTGTGAAAGGTGCTTAACAACAGTCTTGGAGACTCAAATCCTCTTTTCATCCTCATACCCAGGGGAGCAGAAGTGGACATTTCCCCCCATGCCATACCCATCAATGTGCTCCAGCTGCGAACTGGAGGAGCACATCTGGGGATGAAAGGGTAATTTTGTCTCCATGGCTCTGTCTGGACTTGTCTTGCTTGCTGATTCTGCCAAGTTTGTCAGTTAGAGACAATTGTGATGATGGCTTTGATGAAAATGTTAAAAGGGAATGCAGTGGACATAATATACCTGGACTTTTGCAAGGCTTTTGACACAGTGCCACATGACATTCTGATAAGAAAGCAGGAGAAATGTGGGGGTGGCTGAACTATCATTAAGTGGATACATAATTGGTTAAGCAACGGCAAACAAAGAGTAACTATTAATGGAATGATGTCAGATTGGAAGGGGGTCGCAAGTGTGGTTCCGCTGGGCTCTGTTCTGGGTCCTGTGTTATTGAACATCTTTATTAATGACCTGGATGTAGGAATAGAGAGCATACTGATCAAATTTGCAGATGACACAAAGCTAGGGGGTTGTAAACACTTTAGATGATAGAGCTAAAATTCAAAGGGATGTTGACAAACTGGAGAACTGGGCTATAAACAAGAAAAGGAAATTCAACAAAGACACATATAAGGTGCTATACTCAGGGAAGAAAAACCAAATGCACCAGCACAGAATGTGGGATAACTGGCTTGGCAGCAGTACAACTGAAAAGGATCTGGGAGTTGTGGTGGATCACAGCCTCAACGTGAGTCAACAATGTGATGCTGTTGCAAAAAAAGCAAATGCAATTTTGGGTTGCATTAAAAGAGGCATAGCATGCAAGTCATGGGAGGTGATAGTACCACTCTATTCGGTGCTGGTTAGGCATTAGCTGGAGTACTGTGTCCAGTTTTGGTCAGCAATGTATAGAAGGGATGTAGAGAAACTGGAAAGGATCCAGAGGCAAGGGACAAATATGATCAAAGGGATGGAATGCAAGCCATCTGAGCAAAGGCTGGTGGAACCTGAGTATGGTTAGCTTGGATAGGAGGAGATTAAGGGGGGACATGATAGCGGTCTTCAAATATGAAAGGCTGATGGAGAAAAATTGTCCTCTTTTGCCACAAAGGGTAGGGCAAGAGGCAGTGGGTTCAAACTCCATCATAGCCGATTTAGATTAAATCTCAGGAAAAATTTCCTAATTATAAGAACAGTAGGATAATGGAACACACTGCCTAGAGAGGTTTTGGAAGCTCCTACACTGGAGGTTTTTAAAACAAGGCTAGATAGCCACCTGTTTTGGATGGTTTAGACGCAACAAATCCTGCATCTTGGCAGGGGGTTAGACTAGATGATCCTTGCAGCCCTTTCTAACCCCATGGTTCTATGATTCTATGAAAAGAAAGCTGGTATTTATGAAAATACGGTATGTGCCCTAGATGATAGCAAAAACCTATGAAGTCATTTTATGTGGCAGATTGATATAAACATACCGCTGTGTCCCCACTAAGCTTCTGTATTACAGATATCCACCTATCAAAATACCTCCACAATGGCACAGGGAGCAGGAAAGATATGTTCTGCTGGTATTCCAGTATGTGAGCTTGTACTGAGGTCTGGGATGGCATGCTTTCTCATCTATAGGTAATTTGTACAATTAGACTCCTCTTCCTCTTGCTAGCTCACGTGGTAGACTTTCAGGAGCTTAGAAACTTAAATGAGAAATAGAGATAAAGAACATTGAGTATGGGGTTTTCTACTGGAAAGAATTAGAGCTCACCTCCCTCATTCAGTCGAAATACAGACTTTTGAAATATTGTGATTGTGCATTTAATAAATGGGTATAAACCATAATTGTATGAAATACTTCCACTGTTCTATAGATATTATGCAGAAAAGCTACTGAATAATTGTTCTTTTTGTGTATATATATTAAGATTAAAGGTGCTTTTCATAATTGCAGTATATACTTTGGAAATGAAAATTGTTATTCAGTAAACAAAAGTCAAGAAATTGCCATAAATATGTTTGAAAAATAGTTAAAGGTGTTTCTATAAAGTCAGGATATTTTATTGTTTCCAACATCAATTTTACTTGAGGTACCATCTAAATCTTTTGTACCAGAGCAGAAAAATGGTGAGAACGTTCAAGTCTACTTTGAAAGGGGTGACTGTGATGAACTTTGGTTCTCTCTCTCTTAAGTCATCTTTGGGGGGGGAAATAACAGCAAGTTGTCTGCAGAGAGGCCTATAAGAAAGGATGTGAGTATAACTAGAAGAGACAGAGGTAGATTACAGTAAGAGAAATTAAAATTTCAATACAGTAGTTGACTATCTGTTTCAGGGAAGAATGACAGTGGACAGACTATTGTAAAGATTTGTACATAGGACCATAAAATACCTGTGGCAGGTAATCCTTCCAGAGTTAAAGGTGCATCATTTCCATTAGACACCTTGTTTCCAAGGGTTTGCGTGTCAGTAGTAAAAATTCATTCCCAACATAAACTTCACATAAAGTGTAAATGGATAACTAATTTGTGGGTTTGTGTGTGTGGTGGGGGATTTTTTTTTTTAAATATCAGTTAATTCACTTTATAGTGAGAACCGAACAAATGTATTTGTGATCAAAGTTGCTTCATGCACTTTTGACAGAGTTTAGTGTTCAAAACAGATTTGTAGGTATTAAAGAAAATAGCTGAACAAGTGTGGGCAAACTAACTTCCTCATCCATCACCCATGTTTAAAACAAAATTAATGCTAAAGCTTTTGAAATATGTAGATAGTTTTTTTTTCACTTCTGCTTTCTGTTCAGGCCTGGAATTGAAAGCACATGTGAAAGCCTATGAGTACAAGGGGTCTGATCCTCTGTTGTGTAGTCATTTGCACTGGTGACAGCATTGGTAGTATTTCATACCCACTTTACCCAGGTGTAAATTTCCAGCCAAATTTTGCAGCCTAAAGAGCTTCAAATAGTTTAGATAAGGTTCAGGTAAGCTAATGAACATCTAGAATTGCATTCATCCTGGGTCTGCTGAGGGCTGCTCATTATTGATTAGTTCTGTGATGCAAAGTAATTTGTGAAAAATACATTGGAAATTGCCAAAACTTTAATGTTTTTTTATCATGCCTTTTGTACTGCATTTTCTGCTCAA